TTTTTACTATTTAGTATTAGGGTTGTTTTTTTTGCCTATTAGCTTTTTACTTATATTGAGTTCAATTGTGAAAAGATACAATTCATTGTCTTAGAAGAGGAGCAATACCTAAATAAGAGTACCTAAATTCATGCTTTAAACTATGAATTATACATTTATAAGATAAGAAAAAAGATTTAAAGGGAGGAGTTTATTAATGTATTAACTATTTAATTTGTTCTTGCTTTATTTAAATAGATGGAACATCGTTCTTGGATGTACAATAGGAATTATCCTAATCCGCGGGGATTGCGGGAGGATTTTGTAGAAGGGGTTGAGGACTTTATTAGACATGCAATGTCACTTCCGCCATACATAAAAGAAGGAGTAATTAGGTGCCCTTGTGTTAAGTGCGACTGTATGAAGTTTGGAAAACCGGAGGAAGTTAAGGTTCATCTTTATAGGAAGGGGTTTATAGCGAATTACTTTGTGTGGACTTATCATGGAGAGATGGATGGTAGCGATGGGATATTTCATAACATGGTTCTTGGTGAATGTAGTAGATCGAGGGAGAATAGAAATAGTGATTCCAGAATTCATGATATGGTTGCGAATGCTTTTGGAATGCACTTTGGGGGTGAGCCCAACGAAAATGTTGAACAAACTCCTAATGATGAAGCAAAACGTTTTTATGAACAGTTAGAGGAAGCTAGTCGTCCACTATGTGAAGGTCGTCCGCACTCTGAGTTGTCTGTTGCAGTTAGATTACTAAGTATGAAATCTGATTGGAATATTTCTCAAGGAGCCATGGACTCTGTCATTGACCTTATGCGTGAACTAGTTGGCGAGGAAATCAAATTACCTGGTGATTTCTACAAGGCAAAGAGATTAGTTTCTAAGTTAGGACTTTCGTCAATGAGAATTGATTGTTGTGAAGATGGTTGCATGTTATATTATAAAGATGATGCAAATTTAAGCATTTGTAAATTTTGCGGAAAGCCTCGTTTCAAGAGGCTTTCCAGCGGGAAGATGGTCGCTATCAAGGCGATGCATTATTTACCTCTTATACCTAGGCTAAAGAGGTTATATGCGTCGATGAGTTCTGCTCCTCATATGAGATGGCACTTTGAAAATAGAAGACCACCTGGTGTTATGTGCCATCCTTCAGATGGAGAAGCTTGGAAGCACTTTGATAGGACATATCCAGATTTTGCTAGTGAACCAAGGAACATTCGGTTAGGTCTGTGTGCGGATGGCTTCACGCCTTTTTCTGTATCTGCGACACCGTATTCGTGTTGGCCTGTCTTTCTTACACCTTATAATCTACCACCCGAGTTGTGCATGACTAGTCCATATATATTCTTAAATTGTATTATCCCCGGTCCACGTAATCCGAAAAGTTTGATAGATGTATATTTGCAACCTTTGATTGATGAGCTAAAACAATTGTGGTACGATGGTGTTGAAACATATGACATATCAACCAAGCAGAATTTCAATTTGCGTGCTAATTTAATGTGGACAATTAATGATTTTCCTGCGTATGGAATGTTGTCTGGGTAGATGAATGCTGGGAAGCTAGCTTGTCCTTACTGCATGAAAAATAGTAAAGCGTTCACTTTATGGCCGAAAGCAATCATGGTTTGATTGTTATCGTCAATTCTTGCCTGAGGGTCATGAGTTTAGAAGAATGAATAATGTGCCATGTGCTAGGAATAGGCCCAACAGGTACACGGTTGCCCTTACGAATGATCCATTATATCCGCCTATGTCCATATTCAATCAACCAGGCCGATGTTCTAAGGATGGTAGAAAGAGAAATTTGAGTGATATGGAGTTCAAGTCAGCTACACTTCATGTGTTGCTAAATTGTCCCGAAGTAGTACCATTTCTCAAGTAAGTATTGATTTAATAGTTATCAAAATATAAAATTTACTGTGATTACATCTCAATGCAACTACTCAAAATATTTGATGTGTCACAGTCACTTCGTGGGTCAATTTGGCTAAGATGCTATATATACGGCATTTGATAAGTGGTTCAAACAATTTGTAAGTATATCCTTAAAATATTCTAACACTATGTAGGTAAACAATGTTTGGAAGTTATGCTAACTTATGAATTTTGTTAACAATATGTAGGTAAATGATCCAAATAATGATGTAAATCAATTTTTGAAAGATATATCTTGGGGACCTGGTGTTGAGGTCACAACATATTTCAAGTACGTTTGAATGGTTATAAGTTTCATACAGAGGGTTGCTCTAAAAATAAAAAAAGCAACAACAGTGGGGTGTGGGTTCAAGGTGGTGATGGCAACCAAGTTGGAGATATTGATTATTATGGTGTGCTCAAAGAAATAATAGAACTAGAATATTCAGGTTGGCCATTTAAGAAAATTATTCTCTTTAGATGCAAGTGGTTTGACCAAAATCCAACAAGAGGTACGAGAGTACACAATCAATACAACATAATTGAGGTTAATCATACGAGGGAGTATAATCGCTATGATCCTTTCATAATTGCACATAATATTAGGCAAGTGTATTATGCTCCTGAGGCAGAATAAGTCCGATTGGTGGGTTGTAATCAAAACTAAGCTTGTAGGTAGGGTCGAAGTCGAAAATGTGTTAGATGTTGCATATCAAAATGATATCTCCAGTGTTCACCAAATAGTGGACGAACTTTTAGAAAATGATTTGGAACATCCTGAACACATATTGGAAGAAGTTGATATAAATGATGTAAGAATTATAGAAAACGAGGAAGAAGAATCAACTGATAAAGCTCAAACTAGTGAGGAAGAAGAATTCTCTGACGAGGAAGAATACGTCGATGAGCTTTAAAAAGTTGGTTTCTTCGATAACTCTCGTTTATAGATAGTTTCCTTATATGTTTCAATCTAAATATGTATTATATTATGCAGATGACAGGCAAGGGTTGAGGTAACAATGAAGGTAGTGGTTCTCGGGGTCGAGATAAGGCTAGGAAGTAAAAGAAGAGGGTAGAAGATACTACTCATCAATCTTTTCCACCCTCTTCTGATTTGCCTATCACTATGCCACAGCCTCTACCCCATGGCTATACTGAGCTGCCACAGCATCACCAGCCCTACACCTTCGTGCAGACCCTGGGTGTTTCTTCACAGGGCCATCGGACTGTGCGTCCGACATACAGTCCACCTGCCTCACTACCACGTGGATCCCACCCAGCAGCATCACATGGATCGCATCGATCCATGTCACAGCCACATGGTATCACAGCCATTAGCATCACAGCCAGTCGGGTCACAGCAGTCAGTATCACAGCCACTTGCGATCCATGCAGCTATGTCGCAGTCACAGGGATCACATCTATCTTCATCAGCGACTCCACCTATTGGAGGCCTTCGTTTGCGGGATAGTAGCTCTGACCCCCCTACTCCTTCCATACATGCCTCTGATACACATGTTTCGGACGATGATGCTGATGCTGCTACTGCTGCTAACGAGGAGGTGCATTATGATCAGTATGGCAGGATCATCATAGTCCCTGAGGGTGATGGGTAAGAGTTATTTGTTATTTTATGTTTATTTTTTTGTACAGTTTTTACTAAGATATTAATTTGTTTTATTTATTAATTTATTAATTTGTTTTTACTCTGTCCTATACAACATAGTCGGTCTAACCACTACCTTGTAGAACTTCCCTTTAAGTCTCAACGGCACATTCCAGAGAACCTGAAACTAATTTCCCATTCACACACACACACATAAAAAAACCTTCTTAGTTGAATGCAACTATCACTTGAGCCAAAGGAGATATCTCTAATATCACCTTCAGAATTGACAGATTCCTATTCGTTGCCTCTGACAACTCAACCATATTATTGCAATATAAAGAAATCACTCCTACTTCAAATTTAAGAACATGTGAACAAAGAATTTCATCAACATTATGAGTAATTGTGGTACATGAAAGTCCAGATTTCACCCAAGCTAAAAATTAAAGATGTGAAAGGATAAATTAAAGGATGAAATAACACTTCCTTTGGTTTTCTGGGGAACAGAAAGTCTCGGAAAATTGTTATAGAATGCTTGGAGAAGGAACCTAAGCGGAAGATCTCGAATCACGGAAAATTTACAAATGAAACTGAAAGACACTATGAATAAGTACCCAGGAGCCAAAAGTTAAAGTCTGGATGCTTTCAAATGAACAGTTTCCCAAAACATGACCAATGACCATAGAATATATCATACAATCACATAGATAAGTCGGAAGTAAATGATGAGAGAAAGGAAAATAGCGCCACAATGAAATTCTCAGCTACTACAAAAGGTTTACACATATATTAGGCCCACTTACACACTAGAAGATAGCGCCAACAAAACTAACGCAAGTTGAGTAGCCACTTTTATTCTACCACGCAACCGAAACTCAGTGCCTGCCAAAGGTACAAATGACCCATCAAGAGCATACAGAAGTAGTAAATTTATTTAGTAACAAACTATAGCTTTCTTGAGTAGCTCTAATACCAAAATGAAGCAACACCGACAAAAACATAGTTGGTTTTTCATCATACACAACAGCAAGTGCTTCCTGGAAGCAGAACCCCTTTATCTTATCAAATTGGGATGCAGGTCTTCACCCGTCAGTATTTCAAGCTCATTCTGCAAATTTTCCAAATAGTTTAGCCACAAATGCTCATATAGAGAGAGAGAAGGGTAGAGAAAGAGAAATGGGATCCAATATAACGATGGTAACATACACAAAATGTGTATGGATGGTCAGCATAGTACTTCTGTCTTGGACAAAAGAAATCCCATGTCTTGATAGTAACTTCTTGCACTTTTACGCCTTTGTCATCGCGAATGACACCTTCGTAAAATCTCCCGTACGTAGTCTTTAGAATATCCCAGTCAAAGTTTTCAATCATATCTTTCAAATCGTCAAATCTGTATGGTTTCGCACCACCCAAGGGTGGTAGAGTCATTCTCCAAAGAGAACTCCTGAAGGAATATATAATCAGTGTTGAGAATTAGCAAATAAAGATCCTCACACTAGTCATCTCCTTATAATTTTGGAACTCATACACGCTAGAAGAAGAAAACAGAGGACATCATCTCACCAATTTTTGAGTAAGATATGCAATTATATATTTGTGAAATTTTTCATTGTTTTCTTTCCTGGGAGTGGTTTAAGTTAAATTTACAAATGGGTCTATAATCGTTAAGGTGATGTGACAAGAATAATTAAAATCCCATTATTATAACCATATAATAGACAAAACCTAAGAAAATTACAGAGCAAAAAAGCCAAAGGAGAAGACAAAAATAACAGAAAAGAAAGAAAAAAAAAACTAACACAAAAATCAAGAGTATCATAGATTCGTTCAAAGATTTAAGAAAAGTTAAAGCGGACAATTCTGAAGAAGAAAGTGAGAGAGAGAAGCATACTGCATCCGCTCCTGTATTTTCTCGCAAATCACCATAAACGAATCTCCATAACCCCGAAAAAGGCGATAGGAGACCTTAATATAGTTGTCCTTCTGAAAAAAGAACGGTTCATCGCCCCACCGCGCCAATTCCTTCCTCAACTTTTCCAGGCTTTCCAGGCGTTCCATTGATTTTGCACTTTGCAACGAGAGGAAGGAGCGGAATAGATGTAAAAGCGGTTCCAAGTTAACCTTGCTCCCTGACGTTATTAAATCAATATACTCGTTTATTGTATTTTTAACCTCTTTTTTCGCTTTCTTCTTGAGTTCTAATATATCCCTCTACTTTCATTAAATCCCGGCACACCCGTGACCCCAAACCAAAGTATTCCCGCATAATGTTTTTGCCGTCTTACTATTAAATATACTAGTTTTAATATACGTGCGTTGCACGTGTACATTACGTTAATCAATATAAAAGGTATACAAATTATTAAAAATAGCAATGGAGGTAAAACTAAATGCAATATATGTTCAAATGATGAAAAAGATATTACTACATTGATATAACATATAGCTGAATTCAATATTTTCCGAGTGAATTTAGTGTAATTAATTCTATAGTATTTATAACTATAAATATTTTATTATATTAGATACAAATATGCTATGTTGTTATATCTCATCCATCATCTCTTTGTAAACTTTACGTTCATAATATCATTATACAAAAAATAGTTCTTCATTCAAAGTTAATCAAAATTATAGGCAAATGAACCTCTTCTTGTGTATAAAAAGTTGCCTAAATTCTTATTGATTTAAGTCAAAATTTACTTCTTTGCACGTTCATCCAATGCCAAATAATAGTCAATACCATCCTAAACTCACTCCGATTGCACTCTGCTAACAATAATTTTAAAATTTCAAGAGTTCACAATGTTGAGGTCAATTTTTCAAAATTATCGAGGGATGAGGGGTTGGGGGATGACAAATTTATAATTATTTCAAGAGTTCCAAGTACATTAGTTTAACTTAGGTTTAAAATATTAACTATAGTCGCACATTCACATAGTATGACGGTAGCTTAATTTATTTCTAAATTAACACAATATTAGTTCAGACTTCTAGAAATTTAAAGTTAAGATTAAATCAAAACTCTTAAAAATTTAACAGGAAAAAGCAAACATACATTGCTGACAGATGTTCCATATTTTAGGCAATCAATTATTAGCAATTTGGAGAAAAAAAAAATACTATTATATACCTTAGAGGCTAAGAATTAAAAAAACTTTAATGGCCACGTACTAAACTCCAAAAGGATAATTATAAAAACTGGTCAAATAAGAAAAAAAAGTAATATAAATTTTAATTGAATTTGAAGACCTAAATATTAGGATCTTCTTATTAAATAAAATTTTAGTTGATTTTGAAGTCCTAAATATTCGAAAAATAATTAAATGACTATTTTGTCTGGTATGAAATTAATTTTTAAAGAATAAAAACGCGAACGATATTTCGATAGGGGCTTCATGCTTTTAATGTAGTATAGATAAGATGAATTTAGGCTTGTATAATCTTTTACACTTAAATATGATATTGAATAATTATTTTGGGTGCTTAATTGAACATGAATTAATTACTTTATATGATTAAATAAGAATATTTAAAATACTTATTTAATTATTCTGCATTGAAATAACTTTACTTAGAAGTTACTGTATTAAATAAGTTTAATTTAAAATATGTGATTTTATGTCTCAGTTTTTTAAATTTTTAATTAGTAATTAATTGAAGTCACCATCATTCTCATCTTGATTTTATACGTATTGCACAAAGGATGTATTGTCTATTAGTACAATTTATATAAGGTAAAATATTTATTGATTTTAAATTCTTAAATATTAGTACTTCCTACCTATTTTAATAGGGAAAGATTTAATATTCAAAATTTTAATTGATTTCAAAATCCTAAACATTAGGAAATTAACCAAAGTTACAAATTTGTCCATTGTAAAAGTTATTTTTTTAAGGGTAAAAGATGAATAAGATTTACTATTTTCTGGCCGTGCAATACAATATATTATCTAAGATAAAAATTTTGGTACATGTTTTTTTTTTTTNTGTTATAGAGGACATATATTATAACATAGTATAATATTCGATTCCGAGAATAACTCGACTTTTATAATAAATAGCTTCTGTATAACCTAAAATATATATGAATACTTAACGAAACTTTTGCCTAAAATATTTATAGGAAATTTAATTGGCTAATGTTTAAAAAAAAGACTCCTATTGCTAAAAGGATTCGAAAGTGCTCATACTTTTCCTAATATAACTTTAGGAATTGAAAGTGTTCCATCAAAGGTAATGCAGACGAAGCGTACAAAATATTGTGTTTTTCCGAAGCTATTTTTTTTTTTACATAGTATATATTATATTACATAGCTCAAATAAGGAAGGATTTAGTACACAATCTTTAATTAATTTTGAAGTCCTAAATATTAGGGAATGAATTAAAATTATTCCTAAATATTAGAAAAATAATTAAATTACTATTTTGTCCCGCGTAAAATTAATTTTTAAAGGGTAAAAAAGGCGAACGACATTTCGCTAAGGGCCTTCGTGCTTTTAATATAGTATAGATATATTCATATTTTAACAGATGGACTACGTGGCATATCTAAACTCATTCAGTTATTTTTATTACTTATCTGATCCAAACCCTTTACACCTACCCTAAAAATTAGGCTCTGCGCCCAATTAACGTGTGAACCATACCTTGTTGTACTTATTTTTTATTCCAGCAATAAAAGCTTTGTTTCTCTCTTCCATAAATTAAAAGTTAAACCTTGTAATCCAGTTTTTTTGTTCTTCTTTTTTTATAAGGTAGACTTTAAAAGTTAGTTCAATATCTAGTTCAAGTGTTACATCGAGAAGGAGGTGCTATTCTGGGGAGATTGTGAACAACTTCACTTCGAGGACTCCAAACAATCCCTGAAAGAGAAGTGTGCTAAACCTGAAGTAAGTATGAATTTTGCTTGTGATTCATTACTTGAATAAAGTTCTAATTTTTTGCTCTTTAACATAGTTATTGATTGTGTTTGTGATATTGGGAATAGCAAGACGAAGTCATTTTGGTTAAAATATTGGTGGTAATCAACATTTTCAAGTTTAAATTAGATGCTTCCATTTACAAAATCACGACGTTAAATATGTTGTCGAATGCATGCAAGCTTGAAAGGGACAAATTGATGGAAAAGGTTGATTTTTTAGAGGCTATAAATGATGTTGAAGTGAATAAAGCAAGGGAGATGGAAGTGAAAGTGATGCAGATGAAGATGTCCATTATGATTTCATTTGCATTGTTTGTCGGATTTGATGTGGCATTATTGATGAAATGAATTTTGCATTTTGTCTAGTGTCGTGAGTTTTTGATGAAGTAAATTGTTGTAAAATTTAGATTGTCATGAATGTTTTGTGTAGGTTAGCTGGATTGTAATATGATGAATGTTTTTGCGTTATTTTTAACATATTGTAATGCCTCAACACTTGTAGTTCCATATATGGCATGTTAATGTGAATTTTATATTACACCAAAAATTAAGCATTTAAATTGAGCAGTAACGCACACTTAAAATCCAAACATTTCAATTTCAACTTAACCATAAATTTGCAGTAAAAAACTAGGTAATTTTGGCACACTTTAATTTTTCAATGTTCAGGCATGTATGAGTAAACTGAATGAGTTCAACTATAAATGGCCAGGTCTTCCAAGGCACACACATCAATATACACAAGTCCAAAAATCATAATAATAATTGACCCAACTGCAAATAGCATTGGCCAAGTCTCAAAAAGAATCCACTTACTTCCTGGACATTTGAAAGAATATGACAACAATTAAATACATTAAACCATCATCACTTTAAAACTTCACTAACATTAAATATTGATCATCACGAAGTATTGTCAATACAGTAATTATATATCACCAAAAATAGTAAATATGGTAGGTCGAACTGATGATTGGATGTAAAACTATAACCCCCAAAACTTATAACCTAGCTCCCTGATGTTATTAAATCAATATACTCGTTTATTGTATTTTTAACCCCTTTTTTCACTTTCTTCTTGAAGTTCTAATATATCCCTCTACTGTCATTAATTCCGCCGCGCACACACACACCCCAAACCAAAGTATTCCCGCAATAATGCTTTTGCCGTTTTACTATTAAACATATATATTCATATTTTAACAGATGGACTATGTGGCATGTCTAAACTCATTCGGTTGTTTTTATTACTTATCCGACCCAAACCCTATACACCTACCCTAAAAATTAGGCTCTTCGCCCAATTAACGTGTGAACCCTACCTTGTTGTACTTGTCTTTTTCCAGCAATAAAAGCGCTTTGTCTCTCTCTTCCATAAATGAAAAGTTAAACCTTGTAATTCAGTTTTTTTTTGTTCTTCTTTTTTTATAAGGTAGACTTTAAAAGTTGGTTCAACATCTAGTTCAAGTGTTACATCGAGAAAGGAGGGTGTTATTGTGGGGAGATTGCGAATAACTTCACTTCGAGGACTCCAAACAACCCCGTAAAGAGATTCTACAAGTGTGCTAAACCTGAAGTAAGTTTGAATTTTGCTTGTGATTCATTATTTGAATTTTTTAAAGTTCTATTTTTCTGCTCTTTAACATAGTTATTGATTGTGTTTGTGGATATTGGGAATAGCAAGATGAAGTCATTTCGGATAAAGTATTGATGGTAATCAACATGTTTACCTCGAAAATACGAGTAATAATTAAATTTTATGGTTTTAAAGATATGTGATTTAGTTCAATACTAATTAATAATCAAGAAAACAAACGTATGGATGAAGGCAATAGATAAAATCAAACCAGAATATAAGACAGTCACAACACCGAGTTAATATGACCTCGAGGTTGGCTAAGAATAGTAAAGCAAGAACATTTAAGTAAAGAGACGATTCTGATGAAATATGACCCAAAAAGTAAGTGAGTATATTCTTTACCAATGATTGATACAACAATAACAACATCCTATTATAATCCCACAAGTGGGGTCTGGGGAGGGTAATATGTACGCAGACCTTACCCCTACCCCGAGGGGTAGAGAGGCTATTTCCAGGAGACCCTCGGCTCAAGAGAGCAAAAAAAGACAATATATTAGTACTATCAATAGGCTTTTAATTAAAATAACATAAAATACATAACATAAAATAATAAAATAACAGCAATATAAGAAATATAGGAAATACGAAAAAGATAGAAGGTATACTAATATCCA